GGCCTTTGCACGTTGAATCGAGTTACTTGCGTGCAAGTATATTATAGTAATCAAATAGAATAAGTATTTATATCGTGTATCGTTCTTCTTAGTATTGTTCATTCATGAACCATCCTATTGGCTGGCTCACGGGTGTGCCAACAACGTCACGAGAAGATCGATGTTCAAACCCCTCCAAGAAAAAGGGGGTTGTTAGGACACCGGAAGTCCGTCTCTGCATTTGCCGGGAAATTTGAGATTTGATAACTAAAGGTCACGTGATCGGGAATCGTTTAGCGCGCCAAATCTCACGTGATTCAAATTATTTTCCAAAGGAAACGAAATAATATCTATATATTCTTTTACTTGTATAATGACGAGTAGGAAGAAGAAGAAAAAATTAATATTCGTGTCTTAAACACGTGAAATTTGTGAATGATAAAAAAAACGTACGCTTTCTTGCGTGGAAAATTTTTTTTTTAGATATATTAGTTTAAGGAATAAACATCTGTCGGTGAATTAATTCGCGTTATTTCGACAAACAAAAAGTTCCAAAACATTGTGAACTCTTCTTGCGACATAATTCGCATATATTTGCATTAAAAATTAATTCCAACAAATCAATTAAGGTGCGTTAAACTTGAACGATATTGATAAAATGCACGGTATAGGTGTAGATTGAACGTATTTGATGTAAGTATAAAGCTTGGAATGAATTGAACGATTGAAAATGTTGTATTATTTTTCATTTCTTCTTTAAATGTCCTATGAGGAAGTACGATTATGCAATAGAAAATTTCACATTATTTTATCTCGATATTTTTTTTCTTTTGGTTTGAATCGTAATAATGATTATGTGTATAATAGGAAATTCGTGGAAGAAACGTTTAAATGAACGTTATTCATTCGTCGGATAATTAGTCCATTAGTTTATCTGTAAGTAAATAAGAAATTAATTATAATGTTGTGATTAATTTAGCTATTTTCTTATCTAATAAGATACGAGATGCCTGCAAGGATCTGGTTCTCTCTAATGATCAACTCAAAGAGGTTATGGAAAGGCTCTTAACAGAAATTAATAGAGGACTCTCAAAATTGACTCACGAGGAAGCCATTGTGAAATGTTTTACCACATACGTACAGGATCTTCCAAATGGCACAGGTAATGTTTTTCAAATTCAATAGGTAATCTGAATGATAGAATAATAAAAGTATATAAATACAAATCTGTGAAATTATTTACAACGTTTATTAATTATATTCTTCTTTTTTTTTTTTTTTACATTTTTATACAGAAAAAGGTCACTTTTTGGCATTGGATTTGGGTGGTACCAACTTTCGTGTTCTGTTGATCACACTGGACGGCATGAGCTTTGATATGAAGAGTAAAATCTATGCAATACCACAAAGTCTTATGTTGGGTACTGGTACTCAATTATTCGATCATATCGCACAGTGTCTAGCTTTGTTCGTGAATGATCTAAATCTCCAGAATGAAATACTACCACTCGGTTTTACCTTTAGTTTTCCATTGTCTCAGTACGGTCTAACAAAAGGCCATCTTGTAAGATGGACAAAGGGCTTTAATTGTAGCGGAGTTATAGGCGAGGATGTAGTCGCTCTGTTAGAGGAAGCCATCGGAAGAAGAAATGTACGGATTTTATATTATCACTTTTTTAAGAATTTCAATTTTTTTCTCCATTTGCTTTTGTTAATTTGATTGATTCAAAATTATTTTTGAAACACGAAACATTGTATATAACCATCGTGTGTTGCGATTATAATTGGACGATTCTTGATAGTTACAAGAATCCCATTAAAGTCGTTACAATTTATACAAAATTACAGGATATTTAAACTCTGCAGGACGTCAAGATCGATGTTTGTGCCATCTTGAACGATACCACTGGTACCCTAATGTCCTGTGCTTGGAAGAACAGAAATTGTCGCATTGGCTTGATCGTTGGTAAATTTCATTCAATAAATTCTAATTTCATGATTCTCTAATTTTATATTTTTCTTCTTTTCATTTGATTTTCAATAAATAATTTTCTCTTTTTGAATAGGAACCGGAACCAATGCTTGTTACGTTGAAAAAACGAATAACGTTGATTGTGCAATTCCTGGAAATTACTCGGAAAATAAGCCACACATGCTGATCAATACAGAATGGGGTGCTTTTGGTGAACAAAATACCCTCGACTTTGTCCTCACAGAATTTGATCGTTCGATCGACGAGAACTCGATCAATCCTGGAAAACAATTGTTCGAAAAAATGATATCGGGTATGTACATGGGCGAACTTACGAGGCTCGTTCTTGAAAAGCTTGTTAACGATGGTCTGCTATTTGGTGGCAAATGTTCGAGTGATCTTAAAAAGAGAGGCAAATTTTTCACCAAATACGTATCAGAAATAGAAAAGTAAGTAAAATGATCCTCAACCTTTTTTCTATTGTATCGTTTTTCATTTCATTTTTTTGCTAATATTGAATTGACTATTTACAGTGATCCTAAAGGTAAATACACGAATTGCCGTGACATCTTGATGGAATTAGGTCAACGTAATGTTTCCGATCAGGATTGTGAGAACGTTAGGTATGTCTGTTCGGTTGTTTCGAGGAGGGCAGCTCATCTTGCTAGCGCTGGTATCGCTACGCTTTTAAATAAAATGGACGAACCTCATGTAACTGTTGGTATCGACGGTTCGGTCTACAGATTTCATCCTCACTTTCATGATCTAATGACCGCGAAGATCAGTGAATTAACGAATTGTCCAGTAAGTTCTAAAAAAATATATATATATATATAAAAGTATAATATAATGTATTAGGGTGAACCAAAAGTTCGTGCACATTTATTGTATTGTTTCAGATAGCGCAATTTTTTGATAGTCAATAAAATTTACTTTATATGCAAGTAAATATTAATTTACAAAACGTATGAATGTTTTTTTCGGTTCACTCTAATAGAATAATATGTACAGGATGATTCACTAACTCTTGTCACCTAAATAACTCTGAAAGTGTGATAGTAACAGGAAAAGTTTGTATAACAAAAATTGCATGGAAAAATAGAGGCTATTATATAAAGTTAGTTTTTTTTTTGCTAGGTGAAGTTGCTACTGAGATTTAATGGTCCCTATATTAATATCCCCTATTTTTTCATGCAACTTTTGTTATACAAACATTTCTACTATTATCATACTTTCAAAACTATTTAGATGGCAAAAGTTAGTGAATCAACCTGTATATTTTCGTCCTATTTTTTTTCCTCTTTTATATTTCATCAAACGTGACAAGTATATACTACAAATTAATACACTATTAAAATTATTTTAAACAGTTCGACCTAATGCTCTCAGAAGACGGAAGTGGTCGTGGAGCGGCGTTAGTTGCCGCGGTGGCCTCGCAGAAACGGTGAAGACTTTGACTGTGCCACATCAACTACTTAGCATATATCAAATTATACGAAGTAATGATAACGATTTGACACGAGCCGATACTCGAAACACACGTATATATACAGAAAGATAAGAAGAACACGTTATTTACGCACGCAGATTTACACGGATACATATGAAGAGAGTGAGAGAGAGAGAGAGAGTGAGAGTGAGTGTGAGAGAAAGAGATACATACATAGAGTGAGAGAGTGAGAATGAGAGAGAGAGAGAGAGAGAGAGAGAGAAAAGTCTTGTACATAGAGCACAAAAAGTAGCCTAGATCGTCAGCCATAACCTGGCGAGGGCTAGCCCGTGAGAGATGATTATTAGTTTATAAAAAACAAAAAAGAAAGAAAGAAAAAAAAACMAAACTAACAGAAACCTCTACTTATGACCTCGACTTTACGTACACACTTATACACCACCATCGCACAGGATCTTTTACCATTAACTTATTGTTAAGAGGCAAGTGTATAGATAAAAAGAGACAGGGCATATAGAATATATATTTAAATACACATAGGAACCTTCGAGTTAGTTTAACGAAAAAAAAAAAGTAACGGTAAGAGATCTGGTTAAAACAAAAACAAAAGAAAAACAAAAAAAAGGAGATTTAACCAATATATAATATAATATTATTCGTCGGCTCCCTTGGGTATCTGAACATAAAAAAAAAAAGAAAGAAAGAAAGAAATAACAAACATAATATAAAAATTTCTTAAAGAAAGAAAATACGTCTATTAATCGCATATTTTGATACGACGAAAAAATGTAAAATAAATAAATCGTTTAATTTTCGCGTAACTCTCACGACAAAATTGAAAAAAAATCGTTTTTACTGCCAAAGGGGCTAGCCGAAGATCGTATAGGTGAGAATAAATTGTGTGTAACCTAGGATTGTGAAAACGAAACGCGATATAATTTATTAAATAATAAGAAAATAATAAATAAATAAAAAAGAGAATAAATAATAAGAAGAAAAAACATACACAAAGATGAAAAAACCGATCGTTAAAAAAAAAACAAAAAGAAATAGATATAATATATATATATATATAAAAACCGGATAAGAAAAAGAAAGAGGGGAAGAGAAATTAGAAAATAAAAGTGTGCATTGAAAAAAAGTGCTGAGTAAAGTAGTCCAAGTTGACAAAGTTTTACGTTGTTTGAAATATATTTTTAGACTTTTTAGACTATTATTTAGATATACGGTTGTGCTTTCATAGAACTCGCATTCTCGAATTGACGTTCATTAAAAATTGAAACGTTCAATCCATGATGATGATATTATTCCGATCACCTCGAAAATACGATCAATATTATTTTCTCTCTCTTTTGAAGCTGTACGAGCATCCGAAGAAGATATAGGTAAAAAGAAAACAAAAAACACACATACACACACATGCATACATACGTACGCGAACGATATATATATATATTTATTTATTTCACGTAGCTTCGATGTTTCTCTCTTTTTTTTTCTTTTTTTTAAATCTATACTATATTTTGTCACTGTTTTTAATTAAAGAAAAATTTGAATGAATTTTGCGATGATTTTAATTATAAATAGAAAATTCTTTTCAATATGTAAACGAAATTTGGTTTTATATGTCCTATTTAATCTGATAACTCGAGAGAAAAAAAAAGAGAGAGATAGAAAGAAAGAGAGAAGATAGCAATTATTTAATAGTTTCCAACTTCGTGGAGTAAACATGAACATGAAACGTAAAATAGTAATGTTCCTACGTTAGTCGTATGCGATGACACTCGGCGTAATCGACGTTTAACTAATAATAAACGAAATGTGAGATAAGAATTTTAATAACAAAAGTATATATCAAGATAATATTATGAGTAGAATAATTTGAAAATAATGAAAAACATTGAAATAAATTCGCGAGGATTAATGTGTTTTTACGCCAATGGCCAAAATTGTTTCCATGGAGGAGATCGTCGAAAAGAAGAAAAGCAAAAAAAATTGGAAATTTAAACAAATAGGAAGTAGTTTTGAGCATAAATTTGGTTTCCATATTGTATTCGTCGTAAATATTCTTATCGTTAAATAAGATAAGACGTTAATGGCATAGAGACAGTGATAAAGATCGAATATAACAAAATGACCTACCAACGTAAAAGCACTATTTTTTAGTGATTGGTCGTTATCGTTAATGACATTTTTTTTTTCTTCTTTTTCTTTGTCTATTGTCTTTTTCAAACGTTGTCAATTTTTCTATAATATCGTTTGTTCTTCCAATCCTCGTTCCTTCTTTTCTTCTTTGCCTATCCATCATCATCACGATGCTTCGACGATTGCGAAGACTTAAGTCGGTGAGTACTTAATTAAACAGACGAGTGTAATAACATTTGATCGTTCTGAAATTCTTTCTGAATGAAATTAAAAATGAGTTTTTATCGATTATTTTAAATTGCGTAAATATAATAGTGAGTCGTCTTTCGGAACTGGGCTGTGTTGGATTTCAAATTTTAACGATGAAACATCAAATTTCTATACCTGAAAACACAAAACGTGATTTATTAACATAATATTAGATCGTTGAAAGAGATTTTAAAATAAATCTCATTAAAATTAGTTCGTTATAATTTAATAGCTTAAATCGATATTTGTAATTGCCGACAATGAGAAAAAATTTAAATTAGAAAACAAAAATAAATATATATATAATAAAAAAGGAAAATTAAAAAGACAAACAAAAATAAAGGTGATTTATATAATTAAATGTTGAAACGCGCGTTGCTGATCGTTCGTTTGTGTGTACAGGTGTATCGAAATATATCATTGAAAATGTAGGAAAATCGTCTCGCTCTCGAGAAAATAAACGTTTTTTTTACATTTAACTTAACTACATTAAATGATGTTGACTTGTACACTTAACGTTACGAAATAAAAGATTTTAAATCATAACGTATTCGTTATTTCAAAATAAAAGAAAACCAAGGACAAAAAATATCTACTTTGTATATTTCCTTCGAAAAAAAAAGAAATAATTAAGTAATTAATAAAAATTACATATTTTACTAATTGTTTAAGTATTGTTAATTGTATTTTAATTTATCGAAATTAAAAAAAAAAAAAATTCTTACCCAACGACGTGAACGCGTCCGTGTCACGCGTTCATCTACGTGTTGTATAGAACGTCTCCCTAATCTTAAACATTGTCTCGATGCTACCTCTAGCGTTGAAAAATCGAACTAACGTGTGTCAAAACTTCGTAGTAGAGACTCGTTAAGAGGCTCGTACGGACGGACGTATAAACAATTAAAGAGAGTTAGAGAGAGAGAGAGAAACGCACACATTGCGGTTTGACAAGCGACAGATAATGTTGTGTTCCGCGAAACCACGAGAAAATGATGCTGGTATTGGTTTAGCAGCGCTTTTGATTCGATCGATCAACATTTCGACAAAATCCTAGGCAAAGTAGAACAATGATTAGCGGCATACACGTCGCCTTAAAAAATGCTATCGACGTGGTGAGTGATAAAATGATAATATGACTCTAACCATTTCCTCGAGGTATTTTTATTTTTTTATTTTTACTATCTCTCAACGTTATCCTTGAATTTAGAGATTGGTAGAAAAATACTTGTATACGTTTGCGTTAGTTGTCAAATATACAATAATTTTAAAATCATTTTCATTCTCGTAATATTCATCGATCGTCCTTTTGTAATTGTCGCGCACACGCTCTTCAAGGTCTCTCTCTCTCTTTCTCTCTCTCTCTATATATATACCGGCCTCCAATTGTATTACTTAACGCACGTGTTATTTATTTTCCTCATACGTCTTATCCTACAAGGAACAAAATGACAAGCATTCAATTTCATTTATCATTTTATATTTCAATATACAAGCTTAATAGCTTATATTGATTATGATCTATAAATACCTTGTTTATAACGATTGGTTGCAACATAATACCGTAATGCGACATCGAAATTGCAGATTCCTTTTTTCTTGTTACGTAATTTAGTACTTATGTATATCTCTTGTGTAGCAACGTTATATATTACGTTTAGTTTCATATAGATTTCTGTCTCATGTCTCACTTTATTAAATGTTCAGTCGCGTATGATTTTCAGATAGCACCACCGGCCACGCCGTTGCAAGACTTCACCTATCACTGGAAGCAGCTTATGAACTTTTATGTCAATCACATGAACGATTGTAAAGTTCCTATACAATCGACCGGTATACCAAGACATCTCGAAAGATTACTTGAGATTTTATTAGAAGAAGAAAAAGATGGTAACGATCCTGGACCATGTTTGGAATATTTATTGCAGCACAAACTTTTGGATCTGTTAGCTTCGTTAGCTACGGCCGAGACTCCACCTGGTATGAGAGTGGTCTGTCTTTCATTTCTAAGAAAATTACTTAGTCGATCGAAGTATCCTTTGCTACATCACACTTCGATTTATTCGCCAATACAACGTCTGATCGCTCTTTGCAATGGAAATTCACCGTCTCCGATCGAAACCGAAGAGATTCAATTTCTCTTGACGTTATGTTTTTTAGTATGCAAATATCCGCACGTGACGAATATAATAAACGATGTACCGATGTTACACAAACCAAGTAGCTCGAATCGTTCGAGCTCGGAGAGATTGGAAGTCGAGAAGGTTACTTATGTTCCTAATAGAAAAAAGAATAATTCTAATCCTCTTTTTGAACCTTTAAAAACTCAGGCAATAGCTCTGGTAAATCCGAATCTTTTGAATTCTGAAAATAATAGAAGAAAGTCATTGTGTTCTAATCTTAACTGTATCAAGATTGACCTACCACTTAACTCTTCCACACGCTCGAATGCATCTACTTCTTCCAAGGATACGGAAAATATATCCCAATCTTCGAGCCCACTAACACAAAATGTTTACTGTGATTCGTCCTCGATTATGAACCTGTCAGATGATACACAAAATAATTCAAATATTACGGATAAGCTTAAAGAAGAAATCGACAATTCCGTAACCGAGATAGAAACATGTTTGCAGAATACGAAAGACTTGAGACTTACCGAAGATTGCAATACATGTGACAAGACAAATAATCCAGTTGAGAACAATTGCGGCCAAAGTCTTTTGATACCTTCGCGAATACCAGTGAAGTCAAAGTGCCTTCTATTGGAAGCCCTTATGAGCTACGTGAACAGTGCTGTAAACAATAATTTTTATTTTATTCAATTATCTTATGAGAACTTTTTTTTATATGGGATATCTTTTAACGATCTCTTTTTATTCTAGGACAACACGGTTAGGGTGAGAGCTTGTGAAGGAATCATGGTCTTAGCCTCGCTCGAAGACCCCACATTCGCTCAAATGGTAGCACAAAGTGATTTATCGTCAATTATAACTAATCGTTTGAAAAATCTTTTCAATGCCGTACCAGCTCACGTAGATCCAAATGAAATCGATGTTATTGAAGTAACGTGGGGTTTAGATTCGCCATTATGGACGAAAGAAAAAAAATTTCCCGGTTGTCGACAAGTAGCAGCTTTCTACATGTGGTTTGATTATTGTAATCAACTTATAAGAGAAGCATCTACGGATGTAGCTAATGTATTGGCAAAGCACATTAGGATAAATTTCTTCGAAAAGATAGTAACACCTGCGTTAGCCGATCATCAAGTTATTCTAGTAACAGCACTTGTTACAAAATGTTGGAAAGAGCTTGCATCTTCTACGTTATGTACAGGTATATACATACATCTTTGCACATGTGAGATGATTATTAATTTATAAAAGGATATAAAAGAATACAAGTTTATTTTGAAAATTCTTAGAGATAAGCTACTGGCTTGTCGGGCATAATAGGCATCCAGAAATTCCGAACGTTTATACGTCTCCAGTTTTGTATAGATTAATAAATAATTGTTACACGGATAGCGACGAATTGACAGTTGAAACGTTAAAATTGTTCGAAGAAGTAATAGATAAAAGAAACGAGCATACCCTACATTGTCTCGCATTAATGTATTTGACAAGTCGAGGGTATTACGATAATACAGCAGCAGATAGTGCCATCACATCCTGGAGCGATGAAGAAGATGAAAGAGAAAGAGAAAAAAAAAGTACATTAGATCTTTCCTATGAGCAAAGTCACAGTAGAACATTAGCTCCTAGTAATATACATAGGATTGTCAATTGGTAAGGATTCATCATTTTCTTTCTAGAATGTTTAAATACACACTTCTTTTTTTTTTTTATACCTTATTAGAACATGATATTTTGCTTTAGCTTCTTATCTCTGGTGCCACGCTATCTTCAAACCGATCCTGATATCAATAGTTACGAAAGATGCATGGTTGTTCTGGAAAAACAATATTCTACTGTATTAAGGGATTGTTTTTTAATGGCATGGCCTTTGGAAGCAGTAACGCATGATGACTCTGCTAGTTCTGATTCCAGACCAGAAGCTGATCATGGTGCTACACGATTTTACATGGGACCTTTTTTAACTATGCTCTTCGATAAAGTTTGCAATATGTCTAAACAAAGATATGAAATTAACTTGCAACTTACGGTCGTAATTTCTAGATTAACGCTCTTACCGCATCCATACCTGCATGAATTCTTATTAAATCCTCTTTTACCATTAGTGCCTGGCACAAAAAGTTTATTTACTTGTCTCCAGAAAGTAGTCAAGCAGTTAATTAACGAGATACCAAAGACCACCGAATCTAAACAAACATTAAAAGAAACAAGAGAGAGATTATTGGACTACTGTATTCATGACGTGTAAGTAAATAATTAAATTCCCTTACCTGGCTTTTATTTACATGTAGCGAAAAAAATATTTTGACGATATTACAGGGAAAAGGAAAATACGTTGCTGGAAAGCGTTGTTATTACAGAAGAATTTTGTAAGGGACTCGCTGCAATAGCTTATGTCAAATATCATCATTCTATGTGATACCTAATATAAAATGAACAAATTTTAGTCATTATTGAGTTACCGTTGAATGTATTATTATTGTTATTGTATTATTTTAATTAAGCTCACCCAGATAAAATATCATTTTTAAGATCAATTTGTATTATACCAATCGGCATTTATGTATATAACAATAATAATGTGTGTATATATATGTATATTTATTCATACGTACAAACACACATATATAAATTAAAATTGAAAGCCGTAGTTATAGTATTTAATCTAAAAGTTTCTAATGCTTAACATACTATATCTATCTAATAAAAAAAAAATATTGAAAATAAAATTTTCTTTTTAATTATACGATTTTGATTATTGTAAACATGGAAGAAATGATAACATAACCTTCATTGTGAAAAATATAACTATTAGATGCTCGAAAAGAATTACTTCTCCATGGAAAATATATCTAATTATTCTATTTCAACACTTATTAATAATATATTCTTTCATTTAACTGGATTTGAATATAAAGATCAACTAATTATCAGAGTTAATAATGAAAAGTTATCAACAAATGGTGACTTGTACTTTCCAGCTAACCTCACAATATGGAAAAATCTTTTAGTGGTTAAGTTAGATTGTAATAATGATTGTAACAATATTTTACAACATTATGCACACACAAGAGGCATTGAATTAAAAGAAGTGGACAAAAATGATACTAATGAAAAGGTAAAATTAAATGAAAATTAATCTATATTAAAATATAACTTAACTTATAGCAATCCAATATTTTCATGTTTAAATAATGTAATGTTTTTACGTTTAGGTTTTACAATCATTCATTTCAGCTAGTAAAACTTGGAATTACAAGATAACAAAATGTACTTTGCAAAAAGAACGAATTTGCCTATTTCTAGACAGACCATCTGTCATTAAAACTATTATAAGTACAATCATTGAAAAAGGTTCATCGTTTGGAAAAAACCCATCTACAAATAAAGAGATTTGCCTAACATTTCATCCAGATGTACAATCAGAATTAACCAGCACAAGATTAAAGTTAATAAAAGATGTTAGCGAAAGAATTTTGGATTTGCAAGGATATCGCATATGCAAGAAAGTTTGCTCAAATTCTATTGTATTAACTCATAAGTTTAATGGAAAAAGAAGTAAAGATTGTAATACATATTTGTGTGGAGTTGTTAAAAATTTAGAAACGAATACAAAAGAAACAATGTTTACTTGGAGCCAGTATATACATTATAAAATTAAGATGATAAAAGAACAAAACGAACATAAATATCTGAACGAAGACAAACAAGATATAGATTCTTTCCTTCGGAACATGGCAGAAGGTGCCATCACTTTTGAATTATTAACTATTAAACCAATCCGTCCTGTTTTCGTTAATGTTCACACAAGTGCTAATAGAAGTCTTACCAATACAAAAGGTCTTTCTCAACTATATTATTATTATATATGTAGTTTAAAGACATAAGTTAACAAATTGTTATCATTAAAAATACTGTTCCAGGTATATTTTTCATATTTTACAATATTGTTAGAATAGCAGCGATAATAAAAAAATATGATGAAGGTATATCGAATGGAGACTATCCAGAATTACCAGATATCAAAACTGTAGATTTTTCTATATTAGATAATGAGGTATACTATTTTTTGATATTTTTAACGCTCTTTTCACAATTTTAAAACTATACATTTTGTAGAGTGAATGGGAACTCATCTATAACTTCATGGTTGGATATTCTCAAGCTATAGAAAACAGTGTCAGACATATACCCACTTTTCAAATCTGTCCACAAATTTTGTGTGCGTTTCTATCAAGATTATGCCAAAACTTTAGTATTTATTATAGCAAAATTAAAATATTAACGGTAAGTTGACCATTATTATTAATTATAAAATAATAACATATAATTTAATTAATTCAATCATTACAGGAGGGATATAAGCATTTGCATTCAAAATTAATAGCAAGAATTTACATGTTAAAAGCATTGGAAATTATTTTACAAAATGCTCTTGCGATATTAAATATAAAATCCGTTTCTCGAATGTGAAGTTTATTTTGAAAAGTTTTATCGGTTCAAGAAATTTGTAATAATTTCAATTAATTAAATATATAATAGCATTTATATATATATATATATATATATATATATATATTAAACAAAAAAAAATAAAATATAGTATTGGAAGGATTAAAATATTTCTTTAATTTATTGAAATTGCAACAACTTTTCATACTTTTTACATATATGTCGGATAAATGGAATATAAAAAAGAACGGATGATTAACCATCGTATTCATTGACACCATTTGAAGAACTGAAATAAATAAATATAAAAATTATCGTTTTGTTTAATTTGTCAAAAAACTAGCCACGTTAGATTGCTAATTCATGTCAGATCACTAAAATCAAGTAAAATGTTCGTGAAAAGTGACTCGAATATGTAAAAAGTAGAGTAGAAAAAAAAACACATTTTATTTAATAGGATTTTAATATATTCATCGATAGTATTTCAATAATAATAAAATAATAAATTATCGCGTTGTCAATTGCTTCAACACTTGTTATCATAAAGATTAATCTCGATGACTACTCGAGGAGAGATCTTATTAGCTGCGATTCTTATCAGATCTTTTTCCGATAAAGTTCGATCGTTAATCCGACTATACTTACGTCAAAAAACAGGAAAAATAAATAAGTCTTCTTAATTTTCGATACACTAATTATAAATGAAACAAATGTTCTCGTTAAAAAAGAGAAAACAATAAAAAAGAATGTGTTTAATTTCGATATGACGTCCGTTTATTTCTCGCTAACTTTGAAACTCGTAGGAAAAATCTTATGGCGCGAAAGATGGCGCGATTACGAACGCTCGATTAGGGAAGGTATATATACCTATTCGTTTAAGAGAGAAGAAAAAAACAATTTATCAATTATTTCGAAAGGTAATATCAATCAATAATCGTACGATCATCGTTGGTGATTTTTAAATTGTCAACAAGTTAGATTTTTTAATAATATAAGATGATGAGAGGAGAAGATATTAAACAGATAAAAAAAAATAAGATTAAAAAGATAATCTGTTCGATGGGGGATGGATGTATGTTTATTTAATAAAAGGATAGTTCCGTCTGTGTGGTAAGTAAATAGAATTAAGGAAGAAAATTGTTGGATAAAATATTATTTTAGCGGGGAAAAAAATGGTAAGTAGATAATGTTAAAGAGAAGGAAGAGGGTCACAGAGAGACTTGGAAAGGGATTGTCGTCGTCGTCGTGCATGGAAAGACGCACGCACGATAGCGTGCAACCGAGCGAGGCGAGGGACACGGCCAGCTGTTTGTTTTGTTTTCGGGCATGAGATTCACGTGACACCACCGGTGCTGGTGGCGGCTCGCGCGGTAGCGCCGTATCAAAGAACGCGATTGGGCGAGCCGTTGCATTCGCGCACCATTCGGCGAATCGTAGGGGGCGTTAGAAGGGAGGCCTGCTGCTTCTGCGGTGCAGAAACGTTTGACATCGATAAATGCGTGAGAGTGCTCGCGAAGTGCGGAGGTACCAGGCCGTAATTCGTTCGTCGGCTCCTCGTCGTCGTCGTCGTCGTCGTCGTCGTCGTCGTGGTGGTTGTGGTTGTGGTCCTGGTTGTCCTCGTAATCCTCGTCGTAGTAATCGTCGAGGACTCGTACTGGGTTAGTTATCGTTAAACGTTGAGGACGTGATCAACATCCTCGTCGTCGAAGTTATCGTCGGGTCGTCCTCTTCGTCTTCCTCGTCCTCGTCCTCGTCTTCGTCTTCATCTTCATCTTCATCTTCGTCTTCGTCTTCGTCTTCGTCTTCGTCTTCGTCTTCGTCTTCGTCTTCGTCTTCGTCTTCGTCTTTGCCTTCGTCTTCGTCTTCGTCTTCGTCTTCGTCTTCGTCTTCGTCTTCGTCTTCGTCTTCGTTTTCGTTTTTGCCTTCGTCTTCGTCTTCGTCATCGTCATCGTCATCGTGTCGTTCTCGTTGTCGTAGTCGTAGACCGTAATCGTTGACGTTAACGTCGGTGACGATGTCGTCGTAGCTTTAGAGACCTGCTTTCCTTTGTTCTCTGACCAGAGTCCCCCCCTCTCTTTCTCGTTGCTCGCGTAAATCTGTGAGGTGGTAGTGCTCCAAAAGAAGTGTTGTAGAAGTGTGCCGAGAATCGAGGTAGTGATCACGTTCATTGTTTTTACCTTTGTGTGTGCTTTCTACGTCATCGTCATCATTGTCATCATTGTCATCATCGTCGTTGTCGTCGTCGTCCTCGTTGTCGCCGTCGTCGTCGTTGTCGTTGTCGTCGTCGTCGTCGTCGTCGTCGTCGTCGTCGACGTCGTTATAGCCGCGCGTATTCGTATGTCTTCGTCGCGGTGCATGCGTACGAAAACGGAGCAAGTAAACGAGCGAGCTTAACGAATAGATGAGAAGTTTAATGTTTCTAGGTGGATTTGAGACCAACTTGATCGTTTTCGAAAGGCGCGTTTAAGGACGTTAGTCAATTCTTCCTTACGCTTTTGTATATTTCTACATATATACGATACATTTCTCTCTTTTTTACTCAGAGAGAGAGAGAGACGTTAAAAAATATAAAATGTATATATAATACATGCTCGAGTGTGTTCGTCGCGTAACGTCAACGTCAACGTCAACGGGAAATCGCTCGAGATTAGCAACGGATGATTAATACTCTCTTCTATATCTCTTTCATTAAACTCATTGTTATATGTATATATACATATATCTTTCATTTACGTAGGACAAATATACACACATACATACGTGTGGGCGTGTACTCACGGTTTATTCCGCGCGCGCGGATTCGGCGGGCGGTTGCGAGCGAGCGACTTTCCGCTTGAGCCGCGCGGTGGCAGGGACGACGACGACGACGACGACGACGTAGACGAGGACAACAACGTAGTTGACGACAACGTTTTTAGAACGTTAAAAACGAGAACGAACGGGTGGCGGTAGCGCGACCGTCCACAATTTTCAGTACGCACATGACCGTGATCACGCGCGCGTGACGATAGACGAAGGATCGCGCGTGGTTAAAACTTTAGCGTGATTTTTATTTTTTTCTCTTTTTTTTCTTTTCTTTTTGTTTGTTTTTTATTTTTTCCTATAACCTTTTCTCTCTCACATTTACATTCTCGTACGCTTATCACATCTGCCCATTGTGCGAAATAAATAAATAAATAAAAAAAATATGTAATACAGTTAGATAGTTTTTTATCTTTTTGGTATATATATAAAATATAAATTTGTGTGCGCGCAGAGAGACAGATAGGTTAAGTAGTAACGGTCAGCAGGAGTACGGTTGGATCTAAAAGAGAAAGAGGAAGGAGTGGAAGGAAGGAGGAGGAGGGAGTACGTGCGTTTTCGAGAATAGCACGAATTGTAGCCGCGAATATTCGATCGAGTCGTGGACGAATTCAGGCCCTTAGTTTCGCGTCGCGTGCGCGCTGTCGTTTTGAACTTGGAAAGCAGGTACGAAAGTTAAGAAAGAGAGAGAATATATACGCGTGTATGAGTGCGTATATATATAAAAGAAAGAGAGAGAGAGAGAGAGAAAATGGGTAGGAGGAACGGTGGTGGTTCGCAAAATCTCGCTCTCGGTCTCTCAAGGTCGAGCTACGGAACGGTACGTTAGTCGTTGTGTGGTCGTCCTCGTGCATGTGTCTTTTCTCTCTCTCTCTCTCTTTTTCGCGCACACACATACACACACAACACTCTCTTTTATTCGTTAGAACGAAACGTGGTTTTTAGCCGTAGTTTTTCATTTTATTGTCTTTTTCTGTGGGTTTCGCGTGTGGTTTTGAAAGAACTTTGACATAAGGAATGGGTCGGTAGTGTTGGTGAAGGAGGAGGAGAAGGAGGTGGTGGAGGAGGAGTAGAAGGAGGCGGCGGAGGACGACAATTTTGGGGAAGGGGGCGCAGCACGGTCGCGTGTGTGATATTGGTGTTGTTTGTGACAAGTTTTCTTCGTCTAATTTCTATTATTTTTCTTTTTTCTCGGGGGAAATATTCTAAATGTGGTGATGATAACAATGATAATAATGATGTTGATAATGATGATGATGATGCAGCAGTAAATGCGGTGACGAGGGTTCGTGAAAGCAATAGAAGAAAAAGAAGAGGAGGAGGAGGAGGAAGAAGCGGCTGTTGTGGAGGAAGTAGAGGTGAAGAAGAAGAAGCGGCGGCACAACAGGAATCAAGAAGAAGGAGAACCACTATTACGAGGGTTATAGAAGGAGTGAAAGAGACAGAGAAAAAGTAGGAGAGGACGGTGCAGAAGAGCCATCATCGGTGGTGTTGTGTAGTGGCGTGGGTAGTAACCGAAACGAAAGGGTGAAGGAAGAAGAGGAAGAGCAGGAGGAGCAGCAGGTACTCTGCTGGAGAAGAACTTTATAGCTTGCTCACGAAAGAGAACGTGACTCTTTGGGGAGAAAAGAGGGAAAAACAAGAAGAACAACAAAACGAAAGAAGGGAGAGGAAAGAGAAGAGATAGAAATAGAGAAGACAAAAGAGTAGTCGTTGAATCCTATAGGTCGCGTGGTGAATTGTGTTGAACGACGACGTTCGAAAGAACCGCGAAAATAGAAAGAGGAGGAGGAGGAGGTGGAGGAGGAAGGAGGAAGAAGAGAAGAAGGAGGAGAATAATAATAATAATAATAAGAATAAGAAACTCTGTAGATATAGGATAATATAAGAGGAAAAGGATTCGATGCTCGTGGCGTGATCGCGAGTAAACGCCAAAGGGGAATAGAGAAACAGATAGAAAGAGTGAGGGAGAAATAGTGAGTGAGTGACGGAGAGATAAAGAAAGAAAGAAGAAGAAGAGAGAGAAAGAAAAAGAGAGAGAGAATAAAAGCGCGCGCTCGTTTGAAATCGTGGTGGTGGTGCATTGTGGTTAAGACGAGAGAGAAAGAAAGAGACAGAGAGAAAGATAAAGATAGAGTGATAGAGGTAGAAAGGGAGATAGGAAAGAGAGCGAGGGAGGTTTGGAGGCTTGGAGGTGGCGGCGGCAGCGAAGGGGGTGGAGGTGGGCAGCGAGAGCGGCACGGCTGCTCCCTCGTGCGAGTGTGCGTGCCTAGTGCGCGCGTGTGCTCCTGTTGTTGTTGCCGTCCTCCTCCTCGAGCGGTCTTCTTCTGCTTCTTCTTCTTCTTGTCTTCGTCGTCGTCGCCGTTGTCACCGTCGCCGTCGTCGTCGGCGTCGTTCCTCATCTTCTTCTTCTACTTCTACTTCTACTTCTGCTTCTACTTCTTCTTCTCTAATAGTAGTAGCAGTAGTAGTTGTTGTTCTTGTGCTCCTCGTGCTAGTGCTAATAGTAGTAGTAGTAGTAGTAGTAGTAGTAGTATTAGTAGTAGTAGTGGTGCTGCTGGTGCGAGAGTCTTCTTATTATCGTGACGAGAGCGAAGAAGTTGTGTCGCCGCCGTGTGTGTTTATTCTACTCTCTTCTACTACGCAACCACAACTACAACTATACTCTTTCTACTACATTACTAATAATAACGCCGCCATCACTACTACTACTACTGCGTTAACTACAAAGTTACATACTACAGAAGTACTACTATCATCATCAACACCACCACCACCACTTCTACTACCACCATCATCATCACCACCACCACCACCACCATCAACTCTTTTACGAATATCTACTAGTGCGCCGTCCTCGTCGTTATCGTCATCGCCATCGCCATCGCCATCGTCGTCGTCGTCAACTTCGTCGTTGCTGACGTCGTTTTCAGCTTTTTTCTTCTCCTCCTTGTCCTTCTTTTCTTCATCTTTTTCTCCTTCCTCTTCGTTCTCTTCCTTTTTCTCCTTCTTCTCTTCCTACTCCTCATCTTTTGCTCCTCGTGGATCCTTGTTGTGGGAAGCAGTTAAAGAAAGAAAGCCGCGCCAGGATTACGTCAAACCGAGGAAATATGAGCATTGCTGCCCTACTACAGGCCGCCGAGTATATTGAACGAAGGGAAAGAGGTGAGTTAATATTCTTTATTTTTTCTCCTTACTTCTATCAATTTTTCAAACTACTTATATATATATATATACGCATGGATAGAACGACGCCGGAGCGTTGAATCGCGCGTTAAACTGGCGCAACCACGTGTTGTCGTTCGCGACAGGAGAGGACCAGATGTTGTTTTCGGAATGTCTGGTCTTTGTTAACTCGTGAGGCTTTCCTTCTCGTAATCTTTCTTTCTTTCTTTCTCTCTCTCTCTCTCTCTCTCTCTCTCTCTCTCTCTCTCTATTTATCGTACAGAAAACTGAATAATTTGAAACGTGACCTACTCGTCGATGTCTCGCTCTGACTCATCGATCATCGTGTCATTATTTTTGGAACGTTTCACATGTTATCTTCCCTTTTCCCGTATTTTTCTCGATTCCTTTTCTTATCGCGTTTTATAATTCAATTCTTCTTTCTTACCTCTTATACGTTATAGTTTTTTAAAAAGTAACGTAACAATTTATCCTATGAATCAACATTTTATCCCTTAACATTTGGCGCGCTAATTTCTTTTATTTTTGGCGGGAAATGTCACACATTTGAATTATACGTTCGTGATTCCTGATAACTCAGTAAAGGAAAGTTTTTCTTTGTAACTTTATTTAAGATATCGTACGTATATCGTTTCTTCTTGGCTTTTTTAAATTCTTTTTTTATTTTTACTCCTCCTCTCTTTCTTTCTCTTCTTTCTTTCTTTTCTTCACTAAAATCACGATCGAAATAACTTTCACTTATCGCCACGATAGATCTAAACGTTTTTGCTGTATCATCACGCGAAGATGGCGTGGTAAAAGGTCGTTCGATTCTCTTCCAACAATTTCTTTCTTTCTTTCCTACTTTCGTACTCTTTCGTACTTTTTTATTAAGAATTACGACAGGCTACTCATTTTCTATCACTAACAACGAAAACGACAACGACAACGACTATTCTCTTACTCGTTTTCTATCAGCAACGTTGACGATGCTCGTTGTTGTCGTCGTCCCCCTTTTTTCAAAGCGGGGCCTTAGTCCCTCGCGATACGAACGTTCATTCGTTCGTTCGTTCGTTCGTTTATACGCTCGTTCACTCGCTCGCTTGAAAAGAACGGTTTCTTTGTTTCTCCTTCTCCGTTCTCTGACATCGTGTGTGCGCGCGGATCGATCTCGTCGTCGTTTCTCCAACCCCTCTCCCATGTTACATGCTCGTTTCGTATCTACGAATATAAACCTACAGTGTATTATATACATGCATTGTATACATTGCTGATAATTATTAACAATATTTCGATATTGTTCGACTTTAAAAAAATATTTTTCGATATTTTGTATTTTTTGGAATATATTTCTAAATTTGATTTTCATCGACCATTGACGCCATTTTTAAAAAAATATGCTTCTAAAAAATATTCATGATTCATTATTTTTAAACATATGAAAGGGTTAAAGAATTATTTTTTAATAATAATAACAATATTAATAATAATAATAATAATAATTATTATTATTATTATAGAGATATTATATATTCATAGATATGAATGAATTATAAAGCATTTAAGTGTGTAAAATGTAGAATCAAAATTTATAATACGAATTTAGAGTAGCGTAAAAGAGACTTTAGATTCTCAAGTAGAAATTCACGAGAATTCTGAGGACAATACTAACATGCTGTGCGTTATAATAAACGCCCACTGTACACTACATACATACATATATATACTACATGCTCTTTAGAGAAATTAGCGTGCGAGTCTCGCAACAGCTGCTCGCATCCCTAACGAAATCACGCGAAAAAAAGTTACGGAGTCGTTGCGTCGTAATTCGTTTCGCGTCACCGTACATGCATACTTATTACATATGTAGTATATATATATACGTTTGAATGATATACGTGTTTAATCGTTGCTTCGTTTTACACGTTTCATAAGCGGGGTTAGAATAGAGCGTTTAGAGAACATATTCATTTATATACATATATGTATATATATATATATATATATATATAAATTATCGAATAATATATTATCGAATAGTATGCAAATACACAAATTTAGAATATTTAAATTTGTTGAATTCTGATAAACAGGATTCAATATTTATCAGGATCAATATTATCGATAGATAGTTTTCTACATTATCGATCGATAATTATCGCTCATTTATCAAATAGAAATAAATATTATATTAATTCCAGACGTTCTTCTTATTAGCCAATTTTGTATTTATCGTTTTAGTACTAACATTAATAGGAGAAAGGCCAAGGACGTTTGTGCTTTGGAAAGCTTAAGGATTATTGCGAAATGGAAAGGAATATCGTGCTATTGTTAAATACGTCTTTTATGTCAGACCTTTTCTGTCAAAATGATATCGCACGATAATGTCTCTTCCGTTACGTACACATACGCACACATACATATATACATGAATTTACATACAAACTGAAATACACACACATACATATAAATATTTGGTATAAAAAGAGAGAAAGAGATAGATAATCAGAGACGAACAGACAGATATTACTAATACACTAATCACAAATACACACTAACAGATATGTATAATACGCTCGTGTTAAAATATTCTTTTCGATATATATATATTCTACATTCATCCCCGGTAACTCTTCGTATATTTTAAATTATAAATTCCTTTTCGAGAACCCACTTTACGCCCGGTGATTTGTTTGCGAAGAAACTCGACGCACGTTGTTAGGGAGTTTTGTTCGGATTCGAAACGATCGATCTTCGTTTAAAGCATATACTGTTCTCGACATACGCGTGATATCTCTACATACACACACATTCAGATTACACGTACGTATATACTTACGTTGCCATATATATTTATATATTATACGTTCATATATATATTGGTGTATATCTCGTTCGTTGGCATTTGCTGCGTATATGTATATATAAACACGTTTGTGTAGGTTTTATATAAGATATTAAATCGGTGCAGCTTCTTTGGACTATCTTGCCAGGGCGAGGCCATCTTGCCCTCGAATAATCTCATCATAAATATTTCATATTCGCGAGCGAAACGCACTTCGCTGCATTAAATCGATTATGCATTCGTAGAAAGATCGCTTTGTGCTAAACACAACCCCCTATTCCATGGAAATCCTTTCAACTTATTTTCCGTCTTTATTTTTCCTAACAATTCTTTTTCACGAAATAGTAGAATAGGATAAAGTTTTGACTTATTCATTTTAAAAGTTCAGTTTGAGAGTACAACGATTCCGATGATTTTTTTCGTCAAGTGTATACCTTAGAATAATTTTAAGTTAAGTTCAATAAAAAAAAGGATGTTACAAGCATTAAGGAAACGAAAGTTAAGAAAAGAGATGTAAATCGTTAAGACGATTTATTTCGTGTAAATAAATGATGCGCGCAGAGTTTTATTAAATAAGATATAAAGTTTGATATAAATAATGATATATTTTTCTTTTACTGAAAATATTTAGTTGAATTTTCATGTATTTCGTACGATTTTAAAACGATATTTTAATTTAATCGGACGTAAATGATAACTATTATTAAATAATGAAAATGTTTAGCCACATCGGTTGGGCATTAGTTACGACAATTCATTAATTTACGTCAGATGCGAATGAAATTCGATAATGTCGTAAAAGTAGAAAATTTAATAAATAAAACGTGTTATAAATTAATCGCGCTTCATTCACAAATAATTGAAGAATTTATTAATGAAATACTAAAACTCGATAAATACGATAATTTATAATAAAAAAAAAGTGAAGTATTATATTCATATTTTCTATATATCTCTGTTGAATTAATTTATGAATACGTGTAATATTAACTCTTTATTCATATATATCAATTCGATATATTACGAGGAAACAAATTCTTACAGCTACTACGGTTCAATTAAAATAAATACGGTTATTGTAAAAATTAATCGTATATGTCAAAAATTAGAAAAAATTTAGTATAACATAAGATCAAAAAATTGAAAAAAAAAAAAAATAATAAGAATTTACTTTACCATTTATTTTATAATTTAGTTCATTGCTATACGGAATGAATCATAAAATTTATTTTTTTATTGTTATAATTATCGTCACGTATTAGCATACTTGTCTCTTTATATTTTCCAGTTCAAAAAAAATTAATAAATTAAATTAAATGAAATTAAAACAAAATGGTAAATGTTAGCAAGGTAGAAAAACACTGGTGAATGATCGATCAATCGATCGACGACAACTCGAATTTCTCTTTAGCAACAAACGAGAGTGATGGTTGGTGTGTTGGTGGTATGCGAAACGAAAAATTGAAAGAAAGAATAAAAGAATGAAAAGAGAGAGGGATGGTTTTTCTTTTTTCGCGAAGGCAGATGGTCGATGTCGCGGCCAAGCCACGTTCTTTTTTCATTCGACTGCCATTAAGACCATTGCATGACTATGACGATGACGACGATGACGATGAAGAAGAATCGGTTAAAAGCATCGAAGTACGAAAGGGAAGAAAGAAGTACTTCGTATCTTGATGTATATGTGTTACATTGTTGTTTCGCTAATTACACGTTCCAACCTATTTCTTATTTATATGTATTTACATATGTTTTATATACGTGTATTTATATGCGATATAAATACGACTGTTCAATGAATCTTGATCTCATTTTTCTCTCTTCTTATTTGTATATTTGTTTCCCCCCTCTTTCTCAAATGTTCATACATTTTTCAAATGTCTGTATATTTTGTGTAATTTTTCAAATCGCACATTTTTTGTATCTTTACATTTTTTTTCAGCATAAATTATATTGGTAATTTATATTTGATTATCGAAAGGTTCTCTGAAATTTTTTATTTTTTTTTTTCATAAATAAATTAGAAAAAAGAATTACATATATATATATATTTATTTTTTTTTTTTTTTCATTATGTTTCAGAATGTATTCGTGAGTATAAGAATTATGTGATAGCACGAGACACTATTGAGAGCTTCGTAAATCGTAAAGAATTAAAAAAAAAAAAAAAAGAAGAAAAATCAATGAATATTTCTTTTAATTATTACATAAATTAACCTGTTAACCGGGCAGGACGTATAAATACGTCAAACGTATTGTTTTAAAGCTAAAGGTATAAACCTCTSTCTCTCTTTCTCTTTGTACTTTATATATTAATAAACGAAAAAATGTATATTTCATAGTCTTTTCATTTATTTTAAACATAAATAATAAATAATAAATAAATAATAAAAAAGCTGCTTAATTAAAAAAGGGTACTCTCCGGTTAACAGGTTAATATTTTTAATCTTTCGTATTATAATTATTTAAATACCAAGATATTCTTCCATTTAAAATTTTCATGAATGTTATTAATTTTCCGGGATCTCAAAAAATTTACAAATGAATTTAATTATGTTACAAGCTAAATATTATGATATATATATAGTAGGTTGGGTCAAAAAAATCAATTATTTTTTTTTTTTTACAAGTGCCACGGAAAAATGG